AGAATATGTCAATATTAACATAAATAAACAAGAAAGACGGAAAGGACTGCGCCTGCACGAATATTCGCACAAATGAAAATTCCTGCCGACAGCAGGTGGCTCGTGCAAACAAATGACAGTAGTTTTACACTCAGTGGAACGTTACACGTTAGAAAAAAAAATCTTTCTCTCTCTCTCTCTCTCTCTCTCTCTAAATTCTTTTATTTAAACAATTTCTTTCAGAAAGAATTTCAGAGCATGTGTGTATATTTTCACATATCTCATAAGAACTGTTGCACTTTCAGGCTTGTAGCTTTTAATTCTATTACTTTTAACAATAGCGTCGTTATCGTTGCATCGTCATTGTGCAGCTTTTCTCCCATATGTTAAACGACACCGTGACCGACATGATGATTAAAAGCTACAAAATAGGGGCCTTAATCGAAAAATTATTTTAGTTGTCATATTTTGAATGACTATAGCTTATATTGCGAAAAGGAAAGTGTGTGCAAAGGAAAATAGAAATATACATGTCATCGATGATGTCTTATTTAAAAGAGAGGGAACTGTGAGATTGCGCAGTGCGTTCTGCACACTTCACGTAGCACAACTTCGAGATCAGATTTCCTGAAATGATCCAGATTGTAGAATGTTGGATGAACATATATCCGAAACTGCATAATCTCGGAGTTCCTCCGATTCGAGGATGTTTGAGGATTGGTCGCATATATATATATATATATATATATATATATATTCGTGAGGAATTCATGTAGAATTTTTAATTTGGCGCAACTCGGAAAATTAGATTTCGAACGATTTACGACGTCGAGTCACGCGGAGCGCTTCCGTATAATCTTACGACTCATTTAATTTCGATGAAGCATCCTGTGAAATTTAGAAGGTCGGTCTTCATTTCCCCGAGCACGACTCGTTTTTCCTCTATGTCTCGGTAGTGGAAAAATTTTAACGTAGAATTTCGCCCGCGCGTTTGCTAATTCACCGGAAACAACGTGAATTTTTATAATTACACGAGCGTCACATTACACTGCGCATCTCGAGGAAACGAGAGGAACTAGAATTACTACGCGCCTCTGTATTTGAATTTTGAGCGCCCGTTCGTCCTTTTTTCGATGAGTACAACGAATTTAACGGACTTACTCTTGCTTCCCGAGTTGAAATTTTGATGCTACTTTGACTTTCGTCGGGACAGTTTGCATCTATTCAGATTGCTTGTGGACTAATAAAAGCCTGTCTTGATGATCTGACGCTAATAACATATTTTTTTAATCTAATTTTTTTCATTTATTAAAGTAGAATAAGCCATTGCCTTCATGAAAAGTTACAGATTAAAAAAAACACGTAGTTTCTCACGCATTTGGAAACAATTTTTTCTCAGTATAGAAATATACATCAATATAAATAAATACGTCTCTTTAACACTCACCGAACAAATATTTGTTACCTTTGAGATACCTTTTCTCAGTGCATTCGCGTATGATAATTTAAGATTTTTCATCGTCCGATGGTGGTTGGTTTCCCGATCGTTTCCCTTAGTCGCTCAATCTTCGCTTGACGAGAAATGAGGAAAATACAATCCTTGCTCGTGCACAGCGCCGGGAACCTATGTTTCCGTTCGATTCCCTAGGAAGGATAATCTTCCCGACCGCGCAGTATACTCGGATTGAAGTCACGCTACATTGTATGTTCTCTCACCGCGCAGGGATCAACGATTCTCGTTCGCTCGAGAGCTGTCCCGGCGTGAGAATGAAAGGACTCGTCAGAACTAAAGAAGCTATCGTGCGGCAAATCGGAAGCCCCGCGATCAATGATTCTCACACCGGAGGTATCGGAAACGTGTCCATTTTCTTTCGGATATCGTTTTCCCTGGAAGGAGGCAGCCCGCGACTCTCCGACTTCGGTTCTCCCTTTGCTTCGCCTTTCTTCTCCTCTTCTTTTGTGTTAAATACTAAAATATTGAAGTGAGCGCAAACTACGTTATATTGTCGCGAAGTAGACGAAATTTCCACGGCCTCGATCGCGGAGAAAAGCCAGAAACCATTCGCAGAGAGTTAATCTTTTCAGGAGTACTAACGCATATATGTGTGTAACTGTGTATGAAATATCACTATAAATAAACACATAATTGACCGATACGTCATTTTTACGTCGCTTTAAAATCGTACTTTTAATTCCCTTTCTTTGAATTTTAACGAATTCACTACCCGGAGGAGGTTAAAACGAAAGTTAAAGAGTCTCACGAAGCACCGGGTTGCAAAATTAATTAAATCACATCTCCGACATCTCTCACGTGTGCGCATGTGGAAGTCGTAATTACGAATACAATTGCAAATCCGTAAAGGCCACCTCGCGAAGTCGTACGCTTCGTGCTTTAACGCAGTAACTTTTCAATTTCTCGTATCTCCCCGGAGCAGGGAGAGAGAGAGAGACCGGGGAATGGGAAGGGCGTTAGTAGGTCGTCCATCAAATCTCGGGTCATTGTATCCAATTATGAGGGAGAATCTGCGAATCTATTATAGACGTACGGATCTATCAGTTCATTTCGGATTAAACGCCGATGGGATGGCCGATGATTTACGGCCGCCGAAAGCGATCGACGGCCGCGATGCTGCGACGCACAGGAGCCACGTGATCAATTTAATCGCGTATGCTTTGATGAAAACGCATGAATTTATTGCAAGGAGGAACGCCGACTCTCTCTTTCTCTCTCCGCACCCTCTCTCTTTCTTCTTTTCCATTTCTGTTACGGATACATCCGGTGAACTACTTTCGTCTTCATGCGCCGCGAGGAAGAGTGACACCTCTCACTCGGGGACGCATGTCGTCACCCTGGCGACACGGAGAGGCTAAGTAAAATACCTCTCCCATTTCGAAGACGCACGCGAAAGAGTTGTTCTCGCGGGGACGAATCGAGGGAAATGGACGGTGACGAGAAGCAGCAAAGGAGGAAGGAAGCGGAATTCGTCGTGCATGGAATATACTTTTCGCGGTTCTGATACAACGCCGAATGCTTCTCGATCGTTTCCCGGTCTTCCTCAACAGTTAGCCTCAGCCGAAATTCGACGAATGACTGCAACTAAGTCTTGGCTAAATGTCAAGGGTCGGTAAACGACCGAAGTGCTTAATGTTGTGTTAGCAACGAAAAGAGTAGAAATTAAAAGTACGAAAAAGAACTGAGAGACTGGAAGGAGCTAGTTAGGAATCAGTAATTATTATTTAAGATCTGGCTGTAAGAACCGATTGACTATCACCTAGAAACCGAAACTAGTTTCACCAGTACTCTAGCTGTTACCTAGAAACCGAAACTAGATAAATACCGGACAAGTGCTTGGACGGTGACCAAACTTCCTGGCCAATTGCTGACTATATTCTGGCTTATTTTCCACCCAGGAAGAAGGAACGGTGGAAAAAGAAAGGAGAGGAGAGCACACAAGTTTTAAAACGACCGGGAAGGTTTTTACAACAACAAGAGACAAGATGGATCTTGCGAGACGAATTCGGCGTATATTGTTAACTGGATAATCTCATAGTCATAGGATAGTCCTCGCGTCCGAGGACTATTTGGTCCGATGTCGGGCCTCGACGCACGCCGGTGCGGGTGGAGACGAAGGAAATGCGGTCGACCCGATGGAGGACCCTCTGAGGCGACCTCACGGATGGGGTAACGAGAGGAAGCACGGTGAACGGGGGAGAGGGAGGAGGGGGGGGNNNNGGGGGGGGGGGGGGGGGGGGGGGGGGGGGGGGGGGCAGTAAAGCCGGTAGCCCGGCGTGTGCTTGTTCGCCCGCTCGACCACGATGATTCAAAACGCCCCCCGTGCGCAATGGCCGATCGATATGGCTGTTTCTCGCGAGCCCGACACGGGCCTTGATCCCCCTTATCGTCCTCGTCCTTATCCTCGTCGTCCTCGCCTCCCCACCGCCTTTTCACTTCGTCGCTGCGTCGTGTTGCGGGAGATAAGGAGGAGAGATTCCTCCCGCCGGTGATCGCCGGCTCGACGATGTTGTGTACTCCGTATTGGGGGGGGGGGG